CTCGTAGGCTCTCATAATTCTCAACAATAATACTAAGACAAAATATGGAATTTGAATGTAATCAACTAATATCATGAGGTTAAAGCTAAAGTTGTTTCAGGCAATCCAACAGAAAGTGCATATAAGCTTACTTGCATATCTGAAACGTTGCGGCAACAACAAAATTTGAATAACCAACATACCATCTTTGCTAGTTCATTCTATTTAGTTCCTATTGATGGATGTCACTACCGAGTGAGACTGCAGCATTGATCTGAGAAGCCAAAAATATTGTCTTGTTAGTATAAAAAATTTGGAAATGAGGAAGATATCTTCTGCTATTGGATAACATAAGCACATTGAAGATTGTGGTCTATGAGGGAAGAAGCAAATCTAAGTCACATTATATTTCAATCAATATTAATTCAAAAGGCAGGGTAAAGAACGAAATTTTAACTGTAGGTAGTTAAGAAGACTTGCCCTTTGTAGTTTTTGATGTATGAAGAGAACATACAGTTGCAGCATAATATTGACCACACTACATCCAACAGAATAATAAACTACAGGAATTCATGCTCATACATAATTTTTCAGCACTTAAATCACAATAGGTAGGATTGTAAATAAATGTTAATCATATTTATTGATTGCTAAATTGCCAAAAATACAAAAAGTTAATTTCCTCATTTTCGTAAGAAAGATTCAACCTCTTCATCAGGTACTTTTGGATGAACAAACTGGGAACCTGTTTGTCCTTTGATTTGAAAATTTCAATTTTCAACAGAGGACGTGCGATGATGCTTTCTTTAATTCCAAATTAACTTTTTTTTTAAATAGTCTAAGAGAAAACTGAATTAGCAAATGTCTGCCACAATTCATTTACCTGAAACCATAACTAATACATGGAGCAACAACTGTCAGAAGAACAGAAGAAACGGAAAGATAAAATATCCATTGTGCCGCCTGTTTATAGCAAGAAAATCAAACGTCACCAGTGGAATCCATAAAGTCACTCATGTCTAGCAATTAAACAAATTCCTAATGACCTCGACCAAAACATACACAATCTTTTTATTTTATTTTTAAAAAAAAGGAAGAGCAGAGTAACAAAGTACATCAAGAAAAACAGAATTGGATTTAACAGGTTGCAACAGACTTCAAACTCAAGTCAAAACAAAAAGACCAGAGAAGATTAACGTCCACTCCTCTTGCCCGAATCCCAATCGAACCTAAGTTTATCCAAACCTCAACTATCCTATACAAAACGTCAAAGTTAAACTGTTGCATTGATATACAACTTAACACTTGTAAATCTCAATCATAAAAGGGAATCAAGCTACTGTCACAACCCGACTTAAGATAAGATGAGGATAATCCTAAATAAAGCCACATTAAGTCTCCAAATCACATGAAAGAACTTCCATCAGACATTAATCAAACGAAAAGTAAACTAAACAACTAATGTAAGGCAAATTCCTAACAAATTGTTTTGTCCATGACTGATGGATATGAACTTTATACCTATGATTATCACGAATTGAATTATAATCAAATCGAAGCACAAATGAAAAAATCATACAAAATAATCTTATATATTTACGCAACAAAAAACCTCTGTCCATACACGATTACAAATTTAGAATTCTGATAACATGAAATGACAACAAAACAGTAATTAAATTAGTGTTTTAGGTGCATCATCTCTTCAATCTTACGGCTGAACGATTACAAGGTTAGTTTAGCAGATTGGTTAGACAATCATACAAATCATACAAAACAAAATTCAAAATTGAAGATTAGTCCACTGTCAGGCTTGTTTAGTATTCTCACCTTATCCGTAACACACTAACAGAATCTTCACAGGAAATTACCTGTCAGTAATTTGAATTTGAAAAGAGATTAGCATAGTCTTAAAACAAAATTTCTCTAGCTAGCATGACAGTAACATCAGTAAATACACAAAACAACATAACAAAGCAAAAATCCTAACGACGAAACCTCAACCATCTTATACAGAAGATAAAATTAAAGGGTTGCACTGATAACTCAACATTGTGAACCTTAATTATATAAAGGAATCAGGGTAAAAAAATGACCAGCTAAAGACGTAAGATAAAATGAGGGCTATCCTAAAGTAAAAGACACATAAAAGCTACTAAACAACTAATCTAAAGGCAAATTGGCTGATAAAGTAAACCAAACAACTAATGTAAAGGCAAATTACCTACTTATGAGCAAATGAGAAAAGTATACATAATGAACTTATATGTTTAGTCAGTTAAAAGCCTCGGTTGATACCTTTACATTAGTTGTTCAGTTGATCTAGAATAAAAAAGTAGAATCTTGAAGGAGAAATCTTCACCGATCTTAAAATCTGATATCTCAAAACAAAAGAATGGTGACAAATTCAACAGTCATTTGAGATGAGAAAGAAGCTGAACGAAGTAATGAAAAATAGAAACGATTGTGGTCCAACTTCATGTTCTTACAGAATTTAGCAAAAACATTATACATATCATAAAACTCTGTTCAGAGTTAGAGGAGCAACAACTATTGTAAGGGTTTAACACTTATTGCAATTTTTAACGTGAAATGACCAAAATGCCCGTTGGTCGGCAAGCTGGCAAGACAACCGAGAG